ACTTTTTTTCTTCCTGCCTCTCTCTCTTTCTTGCACCTATCAGTGTTTCATCTCATAGTAACAGCTATGAAATTACCTGGAGGAAAATTATGTATTTAGATTCCAAGACAAATGTGAGAACAGGTTACACTGGCATCCATGATTATGTGGCCATGTCAGTCACTTTAGACTCTTAAAAGGCTGGGCCTGCATGGGTAGGAATGAAGTTTTTTTGTTCTCTGATTGTCATCATTTATGATAACACATTATCTAATTATCTCCCATTATAATGCCAAAGCCTCAGATTTCCTAGTACAGAATAGAGAATATGAGGAAATTTGTAATAGTTTAATGCAAAGAAATTTCAACTTAGTTTTAATTGAATGTATAAGAACAAGTGAGGATTCATATAATGGTTGGCCTTTTAAAGCACCTAATAATATGCTCAGTAGAATATATATCCCTTGGGATCCACTATATTTAATAAGTATTCTCATTTTAATATCAGCCACTATGTGGAAATGATTTTAAACTGTTGACATTATTCTAGGGAGAATCTAAAAATCTTCTTGGGTTAAGTGCAACTGAAGATTACAGTGAGAGAAATAGGAATGGCAAGGTTCCCTCATTGCTGCCTTCAGTGGGCCTGATAACACAGCCGGTGCTCCCTGTGCCCAACAGATCTCACCATTGCTCTCATCAACATTCACCACAGTACAAAGCTGAGATTGGTTTCCAGTGCACTTTCCATAGGACAAACACAAAGCAAATTTTAATGTAGTGTAAACTAAAAGTGAATGTATAGAGATGCAGTCTGCCATTCTGTCTCTCCATTCAAAAAGAAGTCAGTAGTCATTATTAAGACACTCACTTAATTTCTGTATCTAATTAGAGTCCTTCAGTGAACCAGAACTTTTTTATGCACATCGTTAAGGTAGAAGGAACCCTCTCTGTTGACATTACAATGAAGAATAAGTATCCTTTGTTTCATAAATTTTACCAGGTGATCTCCAACAGCATCTACAAGCAATGTTCATATTACTCCGCCCAGAAGACAACATCAGGCTGGTAAGTTAGTGGTATCATTATAACTGTCATCCTCAGAAGACTGAGTAAGATACCGAACATTAAACATTTTTATGTCCCAACACAGTGCTGGGAACCATGTGGAATAGAAAAGAAGAATGGCATGTCCCCATCGTCAAAGAGCTTAGAATGTATTTGGGGACATGAGCTAATGTGAAGTGGTGTGAAATCACTTGATGGTTCAAGACTGTTGGTAAGCACCAGTTTTGAAGTTATTGACCACAACAGCAATTGAAGCTCAGAAAAAAGAGAGAAAACCTGAGGACTTGACTTAGTTGAGGAACGTTTTATGTAGACAGTAGAGCTTAAGCTGGGTCTTGAAAGATGATGAAATTTACATTGGCAGAAAGAAAGAAGGCAGTCATTCTAGATGAGGACATGACTGAAGCAAAAACACACGTAACCAGAAGAGAGAGAGTGAAATGGTCAAGAATTTATGCTGGTCTCAGAGTCAGGAGACCTGGGTTTAGGTTTTCACTCATCATATGATGATGGACAAGTTACTTAGCCTGTCTGTGCCTGCTTCCTCATCTCCTGTCTCTTCTCACAGTTGAGAGGATCAAATGGACGTGAAAGCATGTTGAAGAGTCTAAAATGCTGCCTAAATATGAGGATTATTGTTACCATAGGGAAGATGAGATACAGAAAACAAGGCAGGCAAATAGGGACTCAATGCTCCAAACTAGAGGTCTCAGACTGGCAGCCCATAGGCAGGAGACATGTTTTGTTTGGACCACACAGTGTTTTTTTTTAAATCTGAGCCAGACATTTAAAGTTGGGTGATTTCACATAAAAATCCAGACTTGGGGCGTGTCTTCAAAAATCTAAAATTCTAGCAACACTGGGGCCTTATTCTCACATGGCAGAATTTGTCTAGACCTGGAGCGGGGGCAGGCATTGGTGTGGCATTGGTTCTTAATTTACCATAATCCCCACATGTCCTCTTGTCTCCTGGACACTAAATCACGTATAACCATTTGTCATCATTCCTTCACTGTTAGTTTTCTTATAGTAGAACATCTAATAAATGTAGAAAAGCAAAAATGGGATAAATATGTTTCTTTATGGAAAGTGAAAAGTATTTCTGCCTGTTCAAAGTGGCCTACTTCGCTCATTTACCTTCCTATCTAACCCTCTAGATTAATACCTGGAGCTGGTACCGCTACCTCTTCAGTAAGCAGTAGTGGAGCGTTACAAGTTTTGAGCCAAGGAATTATGCAGGACAGCTGCAGTATTTAAGAAAGATTCCTCAGAAGCTAATACAAAATAGAGAGGAGGAGGCAGCCGTAATAAACAGGGAGACCTGCTGAGTGCTGGGTAGTTACTGCAATAATCCAAGCGTGTGGTGATAAGCCCTTCTAGATTGGGGTCGGGGGGGCACGGTAACTGGGTTTCCACAGTCACATTAAGTTTCAAGAGTTGATCTCTGCTTTTTATCCGGGAAGACAGAGAATGAATAGAATGCAAGAATGACTGTGGAAAGTTGATGATCAGGCCTCTCTGAACTCTGTGGTAATTACTGATTCTTCATTCACTTAATAATTCTCTGTTTAAATTCTGTCCTTTTCTCCCCTCGAATGCCGCCTCTGTCACCTTCTCGACATGGCCACTAATTTTTGTTGAGAAATTTATTTTGAAATTTAAAGCAATTGAAATAAGAAATCCTTACATAATTGTTTTATATCCTAATCCTAAAAGTAACATTATACCCTTATGTAAACCTTGTCTAAATATTTTGATATACTTCTATCTTAAACACTTCTTTCTAAGTGAATAAAGTGGGATATAGTCCCTACAGCATTAATATTCTAAAGCAGTGATACTCAAACCTTAAAGTGATCAGAATCACCTGCAGAGCTCTGTTAACCTGCCGTTTGCTGGACTCCACCCACAGAGTTTGATTTGGGCTTAGGGAGGTAGTGATAATTTGCATTTTTAGCAAGTTTCCAAGTGATGCTGATACTGCTGGTCCAGGAGTCATGCTTTGAGAACAACTCTTAAAACCTGTAATAACAGTCACTTGCACATACTAGATGTCCAATAGATAGTTGTTGATAGTTTCCAAAAATTGTGTGATTTGGTAGAGCTAAAGCTGAGGTCTATCATCACTCACTTTACCTTTTTCTCATTGAGAACCTTCTGGAGTTTGGATTGCACTTCTAAATGTTAAAATAATTTTAATCACAGGAGACTTGGGAGAGCATTAAGGAAGCAGTTAGGAAGGCAGAGTTGGCAATTAAATTTTTTCTTTCCCGGCTAAAATATGCAGCTTCAGCTGCTTTACATTTATAAAATATGAATTCAGAAAATGCAACTGACGCCTCTGAATTAATTCAGAATTCAAATGACAGCCATTTTACAGTTTTGAATTGTTACACACACATAGTCATTATGTTTCAGATTATTGAGTGAGTCATCTTCAAGAAAATGAGTGAATACATTGTGTGACTTTGGACAAATTAGCACTTTTCTAACTGAAAGGAGTATTTGTAGACTCAAAGCAAAGCCTTTTGTTTTGAGTTAAATTTGGAATGCTAAAACTCTCATCCTGGGGCTTGCACATAAGGTTAAAAGTTTGATAGTCAGCTGAAAGTCCTGCCTTTATTTTTTTCTAGTAACTCAACAACAAATAAAGGCACCAAATCCCACATTTTGCTTTAGCGTTGAAGACAGGAGCAAACCAATTTTTCCTCCAGGGAAGCTCTGCTTTCCAAATACAGTCTCAAGCATTAGCTTTAGTACTTAGGAAAACCATAGCTGATATAAAATGAAGACAGTGATTTTATAGTACTCTTGCACATTGTCAAAGACCCTTTTAATAAAAAATAGTCTGAGAAATTAAGAACTCTCCTGACATTTGAAGTAACTTCACCTGATGACCTTAACTAGAACTGAGGAGCTGATAAGGTACAAAGAGGTGTTTTTGAGTACTTTGCAGGAAAGTTTAAGAAAATAAGGAGTTTTCTGTTTTTGTTTTTTATAGTTCATTGATTTTTTTTTCCAAAAAAGAAAATGGGTTTATTTTTTCTAAATATAAATTTTTTTTTTTAAATCAGACAATACATAAAGATATAAAGAGAAAAGTAAAAATCGCTTTGTATCCTAAACTCTGAGAAAACCATTCTTAGCAATTTGGATAAGTGCCCTTCCAGTCTTTTGTGTATGTGTATGTATGTGTAAGAGTATGTGTCAGGGGCCGGCCCTGTGGCCGAGTGGTTAAGTTTGCTGGCTCCACTTCAGTGGCCCAGCGTTCACTAGTTCAGATCGTGGGCACAGACCTGAGCACTACTGATCAAGCCATGCTGTGCAGCATCCCACATAGAAGAACTAGAATGACTTACATCTAGGATATACAACTATGTACTGGGGCTTTGTGTCAGATTCTCTGAGATTGACTTTTATTGAAGTAGATCAATAATCAAAATGGCCAAATCTTGAAATATAATGATGTACACCTGAAATTTATACAATGTTATAAATCAGTGTTATCTCAATAAAAATTAAAAATTTTAAAAATATATACTTTCTTATAGAAAAGTAAAATAAAATAATCAGTTGTAGGGGTGGCCTGGTGGCGTAGTGGTTAAGTTTGCACACTCTGCTTCAGCAGCCTGGGGCTCACAGATTCAGATCCTGGTCGTGGACCTAGCCCCACACGTCAAGCCATGCTGTGGCAGCATCCCACATAAAATAGAGGAAGATTGGCACAGATGTTAGCTCAGTGACAATGTCCCTCAAGCAAAAAGAAGATTGGCAACAGCTGTTAGCTGGGAGCTAATCTTCCTCACAAAGAAAAATAATCAGTTATACTAAATTTGTCAATGTGGCTTAAATTGTTTAAGAAAATTTTATTATTAATATGTATCCATCTATGTCTAACACTTGTTTAAAGTTTATTAAATACATGTATAATAAATTGAGCATTTAATTTAAAAAAATGAAAAAGAAAATAGCCAAATCTAAGTATTAGAAGAGCTTCTAGTCTACCTGATGTATGATCTCTGTAGTTCTGAAAAACAAAAGTATAAAGTGATTTAAAGCAATGAGGGCTGGTGGGGATGGGTGTGTGCATCTGTTTATAAAGGTGACACTGGTAACTGAGGACTTGCTGATGGATGAATGAGATTGGGGGGGATGTGTGTATATGAAAGCCTAATCAGTTCAGAGCAATGATGGAAAGATTTTACTACTGATCTTTATATCTGTGAAGGTTTCTACACTTAATCTAAGCTCAGAATTGAAAGGAAAAAACAGTATGTCAGAAATAGCACTTTTTTTTTTCAAAAATGAGAGAAAAATATAAATGCTGTTTTATAATCTACTTTCTTCACACTTTATCATGGATATTCTTTCCATGTCAGTAAATAAATCTGTTTTTAATGGCTACACAGAATATAGTTCATAGATTTTTTTAACTTAAGACTTTCATAGATAGATTTAAAAAAATAAAATCCAGAGACTCTCTCAAGCTCCCTTTTTTGTTTGTTTGTTTGTTTTGGTAAGGAAGGTTAGCCCTGAGCTAACATCTGTGCCAGTCTTCCTCACTGTGTATGTGGGATGCCTCCACAGCATGGCTGATGAGTGGAGTAGGTCCATACCCGGGATCCGAACCCTCAAACCCGGGCCATCGAAGCAGAGTGTGCAAAACTTTAACCATTTGACCATGGGACTGGGCCCTGAAGCTCTGTTTCTTTTGAAGACAGTGTTCTTTAGTTTATTAGTGTCACATCTGAAGTCTATTTTGATTTTAAATATTGACTGTGCTTTGTTTTCTTGGCTAGAATTTAATATTTACATACTTTTGAAACGTTTCTTTCTGATGGATTAGGTGAGCTACCTGTCTAGACGTTGGGGCTTTATAATGTGGCTTTCCTGAGAATAAACATTGCATGCAGGGGCGTAATGTAAGACTCTTGGTGAAAAAAAAATTAGAGGCAAAGGTATGGTGTAAGTTTAAGGAGGAGTACCTCCTGATGTTGGATGATGCTGAGGAGAGAAGTTACTCTATCAGGTGGTGTTTGTGAACTGCTTGTAATCAGATTAAGCGTTTAAATTAGTTACTGAGGGAAGTTTTAACATCGTTCTTCGATAGATGAGCTTTGAAAACAAGTTGGGTTCTTCTCTCTCAGAAATACAGCAAAGGAAGGAGCTGGCTTCTCGGGCCTGCCTCAGCCTTAGGATTGCTGGACCCAGTTCACCTGAAACCTGTCATAGGATTCCAAATGTGGGCAGTAAATGGACTTTCTTGGAATCATTTTCTCAGTTGCAATTGCTGCCAAGTTTTAAGATCCAAAATATTGTTTAGTTTGGACAATCAGAATAAACTTCAGTAGTATCCTTTTCACTGAGAACTTGAGTTAGTCAGTCAGATGCATCTGAATCGTTGTCTTATTCCAGTCATCCAGTCCATGTAAGTTCTGGAGACTGAGGAAACATTGGAATTGCTGCCAATTCTAATATTAAGGTATTCTGTACAAACTGCCATTTTAAATTAGATTTCTCTGATTGGCTGGAAGAATTAAATTAGATTATCAGATATTTTTAACCTTCCCCTTGACAGAGGAATATGCAGTAAACCTCAAACCAGCGTGGATATTAGGTTTTTCTTTATGCTCTGGCTCTTAAAATTTTGTTTAATTCCTTAACCTAGAATCTTGAAGCTTAAAAGGAATTTTGAAACCTCAGGTCCATTCCCTGGCATTGCAGAATTTTTTCCTATAAAAAATTTCATCTCATCCCTTTAATTAGGATATAGGTGTTGAATTAATGTCATGGCTGCTAACCCCCTGATTAAAGCTCTACTTCCCTTTAGTAAGAATTTAGTAACTACTGTAGGTACTGTCTAGAAGTCCACAATCAAATCCCAAGACCTCTAAATGCTATTCTTCCATCTAAGAAGCTTAAAGTGACTGAATGTGTGAAGCGCCTGTTACTGAAGCCTAAGTTGGTGTGAGAGGACTGGGGCCTCTCCCACTGGGTTTGGGATCTTCTCTTGTGATTAGATTGAGCAAGGGAGGGCCAAACCTTTGAAATGCTCTTGATTTCATAAATAAATAAACAAACGCCTTGCTTTTTAAAGAGACAACTCATGTTTGCACTGACTATCACAAAGAAACTCTTGCTGCCCACCTGCTAACTTGGCCTGATAACTTGTATGATAGGTATTATTTATAGAGGTTATTTTTTTTCCTTTTATCAGCTTCACTTAGCCAATCAGTTGCCACTGGCTGGTGTAGAAGCTGTGGATAAATTATCAGAAGCACAGTTCAGTTGTTCCTGTGCCATTTGTTTTTGAGCCTTGCCAGAAATTCTCAGAGCCTTGACAGTGGATAAAAGAGCTTGTAATGTATGCAGGAAACTGAACAGTTAGCTCAGAGCTTGCCAAGGCAAGCCAAAGTTTAGATGTGTAATAATATCTGAGATCTCGTTTATAAGAAATTCTAGTTTACCTGCACCAGGTTTCTGGTTAAATATTTTGTGGAGTGTTTCTAGAAGCAGAGTCAGTGCTGCCTCCCAGTCATGCTCATGTGCATTTACTACTGTCCATAGCTCTAGGTATGCAATGCTCACTTGGTCGTGCCCCACTAGGACTAACCCTTCATCCATTAAATATTAGTTCCTTTAAGCTTCCTACAGGAGGATTTGGTATGAAATGCTCTTTTACTTAGGGAACGTGGAGTCAGCAATACAGCTCTCTACATTGTGTGCTTGGAATCAGAATGGTGGGCATTATGTTTTTGTTGTATCAGCTCTTATTAGAAACAAGCTTTAATGTGACCACTTCCTCTGTTCATGCTTCCCCAGCTTTTCGTAGGAGTATCAGAATGGAGACAAAAAGATAGCCATGGGACTCTCACCTCTGCCTTGCTAAATGGGTCATTTGAGCTGTGTAACTCTGTCTCTTTTTCCTTTGCCTGGCTGCTTTGGAATAGTGACAGAGTTAAGGGGAAGGAAACTCCAAGAAGAGGAGCACTTGAAAGAATTCCAAATAGAAATTTCTGACAAATTCCTTGAGCCAGAACTGTTTCTCTTCTGAGATAAGGAACAGGGGGCATTTTTTACAGAGGAAATTGCCTGCCTGCAGTGCACATTTTCCTGGATTTTCATTAGCAGATAAAAAGAAGGCTAGACTAGACTTGACACTCTCTGAGGGCAGGGACCATGTCTGTCTTCCTTGAATCCTCAGCACTTGAGCTCTGATTGTTTACACAGTAGATGTATAGTAAATATTTGACTGAATGTTGACTGGAAGCCATTTTATTTTATTTTGCAAGTTTCTAAAGTATCTATTTGAGCTTCTTATAAAGAAAATTCCCAAACATATAAAGTAGAAAATATGTCTTCATGAACCCATTAGCCAGTTTTAATAACCATCAACATTTCACCAGATTTCTTTCATCTTTCCCCCCTTTCAGATTTCCCCACTTTTTTCTTTCTTTGTTGCAACATTTTTTTTTTCCTTTTTCTCCCCAAAGCCCCCCGAGACATAATTGTATACTTTTAGTTGTGGGTCCTTCTGGCTGTGGCATGTGGGGCACCACCTCAGCATGGCCTGATGAGCAGTGCCATGTCTGCGCCCAGGATCCGAACCGGTGAAACCCTGGGCTGCCAAAGTGGAGCGTGCGAACTTAGCCACTCGGCCACGGGGCAGCCCCTGGAACATTTTCTTTAAACCACTTTATTGAGGTATAAGTGACTTACAAAAAGTTACACATATTTAATATATACAATTTGATGAGTTTGGAGATAAGTATATACTCATGAAATCATCACAGTCTATGCCATACACACATCCATCACCTCCAGAAGTTTCCTCCAACTTTCTCTATTTATTATTATCATCATCATAAGAACACTTAAAATAAGAGCTGCCCTCTTCGCAAATTTTTTTAATAGACAATTTTTTTAGAGCAGTTTTAGGTTCGCAGCAAAATTGAACAGGAGATGCAGACATTTCCCATATACCCTCCATCCCTACTCATGCATAACCTCCCCCATTATTGCCATCCTCCACCAGAGCTGTACTTTTCTTACAATTGGTGGACCTACATTGACACATCATTATTCTTCAAAGTCCATAGTTTACATTAGGGTTCACTTTTTTTTTTTTTTTTTTAAAGATTGGCACCTAGGCTAACAACTGTTGCCAATCTTCTTTTTTTTTTTTTTTTTAAGGATTAGCACCTGGGCTAACAACTGTTGCCAATCTTTTTTTATTTTTTTCTGCTTTATTTCCCAAATCCCCCCGTACATAGTTGTATATCTTAGTTGCAGGTCCTTCTAGTTGTGGGATGCGGGACGCCGCCTCAACGTGGCCTGACGAGTGGTGCCATGTCCGAACCCTGGGCCGCTGCAGCAGAGTGCGCGAACTTAACCACTCAGCCACAGAGCCGGCCCCAAGGGTTCACTCTTGGTGTTGTATATTCTGTGGGTTTTGACAAATGTATAATGACATGTATCCATCACTGTGGTATCATACGGAGTAGTTTCACTTTCTTAAAAATTCTCTGTCCCTACCCTAACTCCTGGCAACTACTGATCTTTTTACTGACTCTATAATTTTGTCTTTTCCAGAATGTCGTATAGTTGGAAGCACAGTATCTACCCTCTTCAGAGTGACTTCTTTCACTTAGTAATTTGCATTTAAGATTCCTCCATGTCACTTCATGTCTTGATAGCTTCTTTCTTTCTTTTTTTTTTTTAAAGATTGGCACCTGAGCTAACAACTGTTGCCAATCTTTTTTTTTTTTTTCCTGCTTTATCTTCCCAACCTCCCCCCGCCCCGTACATAGTTGTATATCTTAGTTGCAGGTCCTTCTGGTTGTGGGATGTGGGACGCTGCCTCAACGTGGCCTGACGAGTGGTGCCATGTCCACACCCAGGATCCGAACCCTGGGCCGCCACAGCGGAGCTCACGAACTTAACCGCTGGGCCACGGAGCCAGCCCCAGCTTCTTTCTTTTTAATGCTGAATAACATTGCACTGTCTAGCTGTGCCACAGTTTATCCATTTACCTACTGAAGGACATCTTGGTTGCTTCCCATTGTTGGAACATTTCTAAGTAAAACTTGGACACCATGTCATTTCATTCCTTTAAGAAAAAGGCATAACCACAATGCCATTATCACACTAACAGTAGATCTTTAAGACCCTGTCCATGTTCAGATTTTCTGAAGGCCCTTTTAAAATATCATAAATAAGCAATAAATAAAAAGTTTTTGACAAAAAATAATA